GCATTTTACACTTTACCCCATTCAACTGCAAGTGTCAGAAAGTTGTAAGAGACCTCACAGTCTCCTGATTTGAGTGTGAATTGGTACAACCACTTGGACAAAAAAAATCTCCATTTCATAAACTTGAGTATCTGTGTTCCTTATGACCTGGCTGCTCTACTGCTCTGTAGTGACTCAAAAACATTATTTTTACAGGTGGCCCAGGAGACATGTAGAGGTATTTATACTAGCTCTGTTCACAATTACAAAGACCTGGAAATACCATAGTACTCACTGACAGAAAAATGGACACATAAAGCATGGTACAGTCATACAATGGAATACTACACAGCAGCAAAATCCATGAAATCACATAGATAAATCTTAACAACATAATATTGAGTGAAAAAGTTCTAGAAGAAAATTTGCAAAATTCAGGATCATGGTCACCTCTAGGGGAAAATGGGGGAATGAGATAAGGAAAAAGGCCATAGGGAGAAGTGAATTACCAGTAATGGTGAGTTCTTATCTTAGGCTAGGTACAGGTTACCAAGTGCTCATTACGTTTTATTATTTAAACATAAAGAAGGGTGGGTATGAACAAATAATGATGATGCTTTGTGTATCAGGGATGACAACGACCTCAAGTGCCCTTGTGGCTACACACAAAATATTCACACAATAATCTCAACTAAGATCCCAATCTTCCCACTATACATCTAGAAATTACCTGATCATTGTGCTGCTTATGTGATGAGCCACATTCTTCTAAGTGACTCCAAATTAGCAAAGCTCCATCATATAATCATTAATCATTTAATCAGATCTGAAATTCTGCTAGCAGAGTGGCTCTACTCCCATTTCAGGAAGACAAAACTAAGGAGTAATAGAACTAATCTAGCACTAGATTATTTATAGTTATTTATAACTATAACTATTATATTATAGTTATTTATAACTAAATAGCACTAGTCTTATTTCCATTCTCATGCTCAAGAAAAGCCACAGCTTTTCTCCATCAAAGAGAAAACATTTTGCTCCTTTCTATGGCTCAGACCTTGGTTTCATTAGCCTAATGTTCTGGTAAGTCCCACTTAGAAACATGAATCCAGTGCTTCTATCTGGCCATTGACAAAAAGGTAACATCAGCTCTCTTGGCTGCTGGGGAGGGACACCTCCTGTCCACGACAAGCACCAGTTATAGAGAAATAAAAGACCTAGGACCCACCCATTTTTATGCAATTCTCTAAACTGACAGTGACAAAATTTACCAATTATCCCAGTATTGTCTGTGATTTTGCTGGTTTTAGCTCAGGAAGTCCAGCCTCCTGGAAAATCCCCCGAGCTCAGGCAAATTGAGATTTATGGTCCCACTCCCCTGACCCAATGAATCATTTCATTCTGGTATCATTGGCTTTCTGCTCATTCTCTCTTGAATGGAAGAGATTTAGAATATAGGTCAAAATAAAGCTTGAGGATTTTCTATCTGGACAAATCATGTCGATCTCTCCAAAGGGAACTTGGCAGAGCTGTGCACGAATCTTTTTCAAAGATTCCTTAATACTTCCCATGTTCCCACTCTCATCTGTATTCCCTCCATCTGAAGACTCTTATTACACATTAAAAATGACTTGTATGACCCACTGGGGTGTACAAACACTTATTTTGAACAAAAGCTTCCAGACCAAGCTTCCGACACTGGAAGAAAAGGAATATAAATATTACTGAATCCTAGAATTACACACAATTCATTTAATTCTCTTTGGGGAGAGACTCAAAAATGAAAAATAAAGGATAGGTAAGCAAGAATTCCCCTAAATTGTCCTGTCAGGAGAGGAGTGGCACATCTATCCTTAGCTCCTCAGCCAGGTTGGGGGGTGGGGCAGTTTAAATATTAATTTGCTCATCTGGTACTTTACATTCTATGTAGACAACCAGATCAATTGCACTAATGTAGGTAATTTACATCCAAAAAGGCCCGACAGTTGAGGTGAACTTGATCCACCACAGATCCACTAGCCCCAGTAAGATTGTACTTTTTTTTTCATATTGTGATCACAAAGTGTTCCTTGTGATGGTGTTCTTGGAAAAAAATAAAGTTGCATGTGGTGTATCTCAAAGAAGATGAGCTAGAAGAAGGAAAGTATAATGAATACAAGCCCTGAATCACCACCACCTAACACCGGTGCAGTTGATTTCTCAAAAATGCTGGTTCTCTAACTTTAATGTGCATGAGAAAACCCATATAAGGATGGTTTAAAGGCACGTTGGAGGGTCTGCTTCAGAATCTTTCATTTAGAAGCACTGCAATGGAACCCAAGGATCTTTATTTCCAGCCAGTTCCCACTGGTGATCCCGTTCAGGACAAACCAAACTTTAAGAGTGCCCATGTAGGCCCCTGAACCAAAGGTGGGGTCAGAATATGGGGAAGCAATGTTCTTTCCCAAGCTCAGCATCCTCACATCCGACACATCCAAGACTGTATGTCTGGAGGGAAACTAGCAGAACTGCACATAGTACTTCCTCTATTCCTTAACACTTAGTAACAGAGAATTTTACTGAATTATTACAAGTTGCATGTAAATGATTTCAGATCCCAGGGGTACTAGAGTTATGTGAGGAAGCACATACAAAAAATGAAAACTGTTGAATTTATGCCATGTGTGGGACCTCACTGTGTAATTCTTCGACACGTGTGTGCATCAAAATTTTATACTGAATTTAACAAAACCCAATTTCCAATTTTTCAGTCATATTTGGGATTATATGGAAACTCCTTGGGGTGCCTGGGTGGCTCAGTCAGTTAAGTGTCCAACTTCAGTTCAGGTCATGATCCTGTGGGTTTGTGAGTTCAAGCCTCATGTCAGGCTCTGTGCTGATAGCTCAGAGGCTGGAACCTGCTTTGGATTCTGTGTCTCCTTCTTTCTCTGCCTACCCCCCCCCCCCCACACACACACAACACACACTCTGTATCTCTCTCTCTCGAAAATAAACATTTTTAAACAATTAAAGAAAAAAGAAACTCCTTTAAAAGAGTTTTTTCATGTTTTATTTACTTTTGAGAGAGAGTGCACAAGCAGGGCAGGGGCAGAGAGAGGGGAACAGAGGATCTGAAGTGTGCTCAGCTCTGACAGCAGTGAGCCTGACATAGGGCTTGAACTTGCCAACATTGAGAGCACAACCTGAGCTGAAGTCCAATGTTCAACTGACTGAGCCACCAAGGCACCCCTAATTTAATTCTTTTAAAAGTTTATTTTTGAGAGAGAGACAGAGACATAGAGAGAGAGATAGAGAATCCCAAGAGTGGGGTTTGATGCCACAAACTGTGACATGATGACCTGAGCAGAAATCAAGAATCCAAGGCTTTAACTGACTGAGCCACCAGAAACTCCTTAATTTTAAATGCATTGTAATATTCCTCAGTGTTTTTAAGGGATTACATAAGGTAAAATACTACAGGCCTGACACACAGATATGTTTACATTTTTTAAAAATTTTTAATTAAAATTTTGATCTGGGTATTAGTTTGTCAGTGGGCTCAAGTGCCTGTCAGTGTGGAGGTAGGATATGTTAGGGACAAGCGGCTGTGAGGCTGTGTCATTGAAGGATATCCACAAGGCAGGAGAAGAATCTAGGGAAGAAATTTAAATTCAACAAACAGAAAATATATAGGGGCACCTGGGTGGCTCAGACAATTAAGCATCCAACTCTCGATTTTGGCTCAGGTCATGATTTCAAGTTTTGTGGGTTTGAGCCCCACGTCTGGCTCTGTGATGTCAGCGAGGAGACTGCTTGGGATTCTCTCCCTCTCCTTTCTCACTGCCCCTCTCCTCTCCCCCTCACTGCCCCTGAGAGACACTTTCTGTCTCTCAAAATAAATAAATACACTTAAAAAAATGAACACATATAGGAATTTATTTTTCTTAAGAAACAAAGTCTGTAGGTAGACAGTTAAGATGTGCTGTAGCTGATCAAGGATGGTATCTAAGAATCTGAGTTCTTTGTCTTCTCCTGCACTGCCCCTCATCCTTGATGTATGGCTTCCACCCTCATAATCACAAAATGGCTGCTGAACTTCCAATCACTACGTTCACACTTAAAGCAGTAAAAATAAAGCTACAAACCTCTTCCTGAGGCTTTGTCTTTTTATTCAGGAATAGAAACCCTTTTCTAAGAATTCTTACAGTTTTTTGGTCAGAGTTTATCTTTTGTTCCCCAATGAAAAGCAGTCTCTTCAACAAAGGAGAGAATAGGAGTTTACTGGGAAGGTATCCTGGCTGAGAAAACAGTATCTTTCAAACTAATGTATCAGAGGTCATAATAAATAATTTCTACTTCTAGCAACTTCTTTGTAAATACTCACAAATGTTTAGGACACAAAATGCCTATTACCAATAAGACAAATCGGGGAGACCTCCCAATAACATTAAACTCTGCAACACCTGTCCCAAATGTTCAAAGTGAGGGTAAAGAGATGCTCGCGTGCCTATTCTGGGGAAAATCACCTGGTTGAATATTCCACAAAGCACAGGGACCGGGCAGGCTGGACTCTGAAAAGCTGTCTCTAGAAGCCCATTTAAATGTGCACCATCCTGAGGGTTGCTTAACTAAAACTCACCACAGTAAACATCAAGGCTGGCAAGGGCCACTTTGATCCATTTTACATAGATCATTAGGCTGTTGCAGAAGCCTGTTTGCTCTCTGGGTAGCAGCAACTGTCCCCACATTCACTCCCATTCTGGATTGTATTTTAAGGCAAATTATCTATTCAGCCTCTGTTGCTAGCACATGAAGAATCACAATGAGACACTCCATTTCGGGCTGCAATTTCTGTGCCAGACTGACTTGGAACAGAACCAAACATGTATCTAATTCTGCCCCTCCCTGCTTTCTTCCATTCTCCTCTGCCTTATACCAAAACTAAAAGTAAGGCAATTCCAAATTGTGAAGGTAAGTTTCCATCCACAACGAAGGCAGAACTAATCAGAGACGCAATAAAAAAAATAGTATTTTCACTATACCTTCGATCAGTCTTCGCCGATATCACGCACTGATTGAAAAGATTTTCAAATTCCTTTCACTGATTTGTATTCTCTATTCCTTTTTATTCATCACCTTATCAGTCTTCATGACAGTCCTTCAAAATCAAAACAGAAGCCATGGAATCATTTCCTCAGTTTAGCATACTCAGCAAACTACTTAAGTATTATAAAAATACAAACCTATCATGATGCTTGTATTTATCTATGGCCAAGTTCAATGACCAAGCTTATATCCATCCACCATTCCCTCCAAGCTCCATGTTTTATTCTGGAAAGCCTAAGACCCCAGATTAAGTATAGAGTGCCTGTTTAATGAGGGTAAGGAAAAGTGGGGAAGTTATCACAAATCTGTTAACTCACTATGTGTGTTGGATATTGTGAACTTCCTCCTCAACCACCTGGCATGCTTCTTCTAAACAGAGAAGCGCAAAAGTTGAAAGATACATTTCCCAGATACCTTTGCAACTAAGATTCTGGATGCAAATTTGTTTTCACCATTCAAAAGCACATATGTGAGTGAGGTTGAGACAAGAAAATGCAATGGATAATAAAAAATACCTTATCCTCCAGAAGAAGGCAAGAAAAAGAGGGAGAAAAAAAAGAGTAGGACAAATAGAAAACGAGTAAGATGGTTGTTTTAAACCTAAATTAAGTCAGCAATTTTGTTGAATGTAAACAAGCCAGTGCAAATTAGAAAAGAGACTGTCAGATTTTTTTTAAACTCAAGTGCTTACAAGAGACATTCTTTAAACACCCTGCACAGAAAGGTTGCAAGTAAAAGTGTAGTTTCTAAAATCTGTAAATGTTACCTTATTTGGAAATAAAGAATCTGTGCAGATAGGAGTACATTAAAGATTCTGAGATGACAAGATTATCATGGATTATCTGGGTGGGCACTAAATGCTATCACAAGCATCCTTGTAAAAGGAGGGCTAGCGGACATTTGATACAAAGTAGGAGAAATCCGTATGATCAGGGAGACGCAGGGGTGATGTAGCCAGAAGCCAAGGAATGCTGGCAACCACCAGGAGCTGGAAGAGGCAAGGAAGGGATGCTCCCCTAGAGCCTCTGAGGGAAGTGCTGCCCTACAGACACCATGATTTCAGCCTGGTGATTTTAGACTTCTGTGCTCAAGAACTGTGAGACAATGAACTTCGTTGTTTTAAGCCATCCAGTGTGTGATAATTTGTTACAGCTGCTCCAGGAGATGAATGCACTTGATGTGTCTTATAAAACCACCTGAAAGAAAGCTGGTATACCCATACTAGTATCTCTAGTATCACTTCTTGCCATAGAGGGGGATGTGTCATAGAGGCAAAAGGAAAAGAAAATGAAAGGAAAATGAAACCATCTTTCTGTTCTGTTTGCCTAGAAAGTAAGTTTACAGAATTACAAAGTTTTCTATGAGCAGCTTTTCAGTGTCTATTATTTTTCCTGGGTGCCAAGAGTCATTGTTCACAGTGGTAGAGGACACTGGCTTTCCTGCTTTGTGACTTTTGTGGTTGTGGAAGAACAATCTTATTAAACTCCTAACACCAGTAGTGGTTCCAGAGGTAGGAACAAGATTGCCCTGGGACAGGGACCCATCCATGCTTTGCTGGGCTGATGCTTACTTTCATTATGAGGAGGGCCCTTCATATAAAGGAATATACAATTTCAATATAAATTGCTAGGGCTCCTCCCAGAGCATCTGGAGAGGCCATGGAAGTGAAGGACCCCACATCTATAGGTCATTAGCTCACAGTGAGAGAGCCATTCCTGGGTACAGTCTAGAACCATAACTTCAACCCTGGCTGATGAGTTTGTGTGCACCTAAGCCCCCAGACCAAGTCTTTTTCTGCCCAAATACTTACAGGGATTTCAGTACTAGAGCCCAATTGATACATCTTTAAGAAGTCCCTTCCCCTCCCCAGGTACTAGCCTCTCTTTCCACCAAAAAACACTGCCATTTTAAACATTTCAGGGCCCCCTCTAGTCAGCTGCCTGGATGTGCTTTCCTTACCTGAGACATTTCTTTTGTCATTTTACCTCACCACACATCTTTAATCCAAAATTCTTCAAATACCTGCCTCTGGGAATATCATTATAAAGAGGCTGCCTATGCCATGCTTCCAAAGGGAAGTCAAGGGGTTTCTCCCAAAGGAATCTAGTCATTTTCCACTCTATTAGTGTATCACAACTCCTGTACCAGGATGCTCCCAGAGATAATTCTGCCAAGTGTATCAATCTACAGGCTCAGTGGGTATGAATATTCCTCATAATTATACAGCTTAAATGCATGGCCACTAGCCATTAGATCAGAGAACAAGCAGGACATCAGACACTGAATATTAGCCAGTGTGGTCTCAGTCCCATGTTCCAACAGGGAAGAAGATGAGAGTCTGGAAACATACATCCTTAACAAACATCTAAAGCCACGTAAGCCTGGATCCTGCCATGGGCTAAGTTGAGGTACCTACCAGGTTTCTTTACCACCAAGTATCTACCATGGGTCTTTCTGAAAGACACACAGGAACACCTTCTTAGCAATATAGTGTCTTAGTCCTGTCAGGATACTTTAATAAAAAATACTATTGACTGTGTAGCTTATTAACAACATAAATTTATCTCTCACAGTTCTGACTATTGGGAAGTCCAAGATGAAGGCACTGGCAGTGCAACTTGGGAAGGACCTACTTCTTGGTTCATAGACAGCTATCTTTTTGCTATGCTCTCAAGTAGTACAAGGGACAAGGGAGATCTCTGGGGTCTCTTTTAAAAAAGCAATAATGCCATTCAGGAGGGCTCCATCCTCATCACCGAATCACCTCCCAAAGGCCCCACCTTCAAATGCTGACACATTCAGGGTGAGGATGTAGCATTTAATTTGAGAGGAACACAAACATTCAGTCTACAGCAGCAACACTCTTATTTCCATGAGGTGTCTTCTTTCACCCTATATTGTATTCCTAGAACCATAAAAGGCCTGTGGGAAGGCTCATCACACACTTGTTAAATAAATAATTGAAATCTACATAAGAGTGGCTCCTGCCTAGAGGCTTTAGGGTCCACACCAAACAATTACTGGCCATTCACAACTTAGTGCTAATTAGAGAATGATGGTCTATCAGATCCAATGGTCATTTGAGAGACCACCCAGTTTCCACCCCACAGTGGAAGCTTGGAGTACCACCACCAGATTCCAGGTAGGCAGTCACCCAGAGGGAGTCCAATCCTTACCCCCTGGGCAGGAGGGAGTTAGTACTTCCTGAGTAGCTCATTTCATTCTCAAGGTGATTCAACTTGCAAAGGGAGTGGGGTAAGATAACCAATTAGCCAAACAACTAGCACCAGAGACTCTGATAGGGAGATAATACTGTTGAGGCAAATCTCCAGGCTAGAGACTGATTATTTGTATCCCCTCAAAATTCATATGCTAGAACCTCATCCCCAATGTGAGGTATTAGGAGGTGGGAACATGGATGGGGTTAGGTCATGAGGTTGGATCCTTCATGAATGAGATTAATGTCCTTATAAAAGAGACCCCAGAGAGTTCCCTCACCCTGTCACTGTGTGGCAATCCAAGAAAATGGCTGTCTACGAACCACAAAGTGGGAGCTCACCAGGCACTCAATCAACCAGTGTCTTGAACTGTGATAAATATTTATTGTTTATAGGCTACCTGTCTATGTTGTCCTTGTTATGGAAGCCCAAATGGATTAACACATTTACTAAATACCTTACCTGAGGAAGATGTGACCCTGTGGGTAGGAACTTGTGGGAGCCACAGCAAGAAAAGACAATGATAGATAACTCTACATGGAAAGAAAGAGAGGAGAGAGAAAGGGGGAATGGGGAAGAAAAGAATGCAAAGAATGTTAAGAAACTGGGTAGAATACTGGATCCTGAGTTGTGGAAGTGACTTAGGAATAGTTAAAAATAGGAATATCTAATACTGAACTTTAAGTGTTTTTATTTTTTTTTTTTAATTTTTTTTTCAACTTTTTTTAATTTTTTATTTTTGGGACAGAGAGAGACAGAGCATGAACGGGGGCGGGGCAGAGAGAGAGGGAGACACAGAATCGGAAACAGGCTCCAGGCTCTGAGCCATCAGCCCAGAGCCTGACGCGGGGCTCGAACTCCCGGACCGTGAGATCGTGACCTGGCTGAAGTTGGACGCTTAACCGACTGCGCCACCCAGGCGCCCCAAGTGTTTTTAAATGCTGTGGTTTAAGTTTCTTCATCTTTCCAAATCTTCAGTAAAGTCTTTGGCAACGCAAAATCGTGTTAAGTGAACTGTTTGGGACCATACAAAAGAAATCATATGAATTTGGGGAGAACATTAGGTTTTCACAGGTAGAGGAACACTTTTCTAATAACCTGAATTGGCAGGAAAATCTTAGTTGATATATGGGTCACATTTAAAAGGTGTCTTCCAAACTAAAGTCTACCTTATTATATATCTACTATTCGTCCCAATTCCTCCCTCTAGACTCTAGAAGCCAGACTCTGCTCTCTGACCACCCAACAGACCATCTTCTCTTCTCCAGGCCAAGCTACCCTCTCTCAGAAGACCCAAGTTAGTCTCAGCCACTCAGCATGCTTCCCAGCAAACATGTTCCAGTTTTCAATTTTTTTCTCTTAAAGCATAACAAAGAGAATTAAACAAAATACTTTAGAAATCACTCATCAGTTCCATGAGCACCAAGGATGTATCAGATAATATTTACATTTACACTGCCATCACAGTGATGAATCAAAATTGGTAGAATGGCAGCAAATTGAAACCCCCTGTCATTGTTCATTGGGCTGCTTCTATTAGAACTTTTTTTAAAAAAAATTTTTAATGTTTTTATTTATTTTTGACAGAGAGAGAGCGCGCACACGCGCATGAGTGGGGGAAGGGCAGAGAGAGAGAGGGAGACACAGAATCTGAAGCAGGCTCCAGGCTCTGAGCTGTCAGCACAGAGCCTGATGCAGGGCTCAAACTCACAGACTGCAAGATCATGACCTGAGCTGAAGTCAGACGCTCAACTGACTGAGCCACCCAGGCGCCCTAAGGGCTGCTTCTAAATGATGCCCTACAGTCCCTATGCCTGTATTTGGCAGTTAGAGT